TTTACAACAATAAAAAATTTTTTTTTTTAAAATTCAGTATCATAACATTTCTTATTCAAAGAAGAAAAAAAAAAGTAAACAGGAGTCAAACAACTTGCCCTCAGCCAGAATCAACGTTGCATTGTGGGTTCTCTCTGCAATGTGCCTCAGTCCTTGAGGACCATGATACAACGCAAACATGGAGGCCATGTTTGCAAGAAGAGCCTGTGTTAAGACATTAAAACTGAGTACAGACATTCAACTTTACAAATATATATACACACACTGTTTTTTTCAGATTTGTGAAGCTCTACCTGGGCAGTGCAGATGTTGCTGGTGGCTTTGTCCCTGCGGATGTGCTGCTCTCTTGTCTGGAGAGCCAGACGATAAACCTCTTTACCAGCTGCATCTCTGTAACAGGAAACGTTTGACAATTGATACCAACACTGATGAAGAAAAATACACTGAATCCTATAAATTACAGACTTACCTGGTCACTCCAACCATCCTTCCTGGCATCATCCTGACCAGATTTTCTTTGACTGCAAAGAATGCAGCATGAGGCCCACCATAGCAGAGAGGCACTCCGAAGCGCTGTGAGCTGCCCAAGGCGATGTCAACTCCAAACTCACTCGGAGGACGCAACACGCAGAGCGCCAGCAAGTCTGTGGCACAGCAAGCCAGTGCCTTTGATAAAAATGGACCAAAAAATAAATAGCTAACATTTCACAAAAAAAAAAATCTAATCAAATCTGAATCTTTTGAACATGTCTAAATCAGTTGCTGTAATAGATCTGTGCACAAAAACTAATAACAGATTCTGTTGTTGCAATTAAGGACCAATTGGATAGTTCACCCAAAAATGACAATTGTCATCATTTACTCACCCTCATGTCATTCCAAACTTGTCTGACTTGTTTTCCTTTTCTTTTTTTCATGGATCACAAATGGAGATTTTTAATAAAACACTCAAATCTCACTTCCATAGATTCAAGTTGGCCATGAAGATAGGCCACACCAGATTTCACATCAGTGTTTGACAGCTCTAAACAATTTAGTAGTATGGAAAAAATAATGTGCTCTTCGAAATGTCCCCTTTTGTGTTTTACAGAAGAAAACGCAAGTCAAACAGGTTTGGAGCAGCATGAGGGTGAACAAATCAGTTGAGTGAATGGATCAAGTTAAAACCTAATATGCAAAAACTGGTATCAGAAATTGAAACTGTGAATTTTATAATGACATATGGAGGTAAGATGTACATACACCACCCTTGTGAGCCC